CACACACACACACACACACACACACACACACACACACACACACACACTCACGATGACTCGTTACATGATAAAAATTTAATTACATTACGTAAAAAGGACAGGTTTGTACAGCGTATACTCTTTTTATTGTTTTGTCATTCATTTACATATAAATATTTTCAAGATACGTCTTACGAAACAAAGTATCTGTAGTTTGCGCTTTCGCTACAATTAAAAGAACGTATCTTTCGATACAAAGTAGTTTTGTCGCTCTTTATCTCATTCACTTAAAATATTATTACATTAACTTCGCGGCATCCTTGAGCTCGTCTCGTCCACTTTCAGAAAAGTAAACCGTTCGCGACTCCTTCGGTGCTTGTGCGTCATCACAGCTCATGATTTAGCATTTAGCTCTTGTGTTTGTGCGAAAAATGAATTATTTGCAAAAAAAAGGACTAGGAAAGGGTAAAAGAATTAACGAGTGTTTAGATCTAATCTCGGAGAAATGATCAAAGTAAATGTGCGTTATAAAATTGTTATTGAAAGAGTACTACCGTCAGATTCCTCAGCACCGAATAAGATCGAGATGTGGTCGCCATATATAATGACGATCAACAACGGTTAACAAGTACAATTAAGTCGTACTTGTACAAGTACTTGTAGATTCTCCCCACCTCGCATGAAAAGAATTAAAAAAAGTCAATTGTTTGTGAAAAACGCGCTAATTACAGGATTACACGATATACTGGTAAACGACGAGCTGCTCTTTGTCTCTCTCTCTCCCTCTCTTTCTCGCCTGTAAGCTCCGAACGCTAAAACGCACGCTGCGAGGAATCTATGAGAGAAATCTCGAGGGTTTGGCAGTCGATGGCTGTTGACGGACGCTGTTTGATTCACACGCGATCATTCAGCACAACATATCACAATTCGAGGTAAAGTTCGGCATGCCAACAACGGCGACTTATGATTCGCATCGCATGTATCCTCGCACGCGCTCCTTTCGGCCCCATTCGGCAACAACAATTTCATCGAGTTCAACGTGTGTTCGATGCTGCAAAAATGTACTTTACGTACTCATATACAGATCGTTCTTTCCATGACAAGGACAACATGGAGATGCCTTTTCACACGCGATCCTATCTCTATCATCCAGAAATCCAAACTTAATTATATATCGATTTCAAACAGTTCCCTTCTCTCTTACTCGTAAAAGCTAAACAGTTTCGACGCCTTCATTCGCGCCTCGTGATTACGCTTTGTGCATTATCGGGTAATTATCGGCGTATTTTATCTTACATGACAAAAGTCACTTTTCCTCGCTTTTCGCCTTGCGCGAATTTTATACGTAATTATAAATCGAAATATCGACGATTCAGAAATTTTATCTGAATATGCATTTGATCGTTAAACTAGAAAACCACATGTTACGGTATCGTATCGCGTGCAGGTCGCTCGTCCCAATTCATGGTCTCTAATGTTACGCGATAAATATACGCGATTCTTTCACATATCACTTATATCGTTATATCGAAGGCAGGACGAAGCGACAAGTTTAAAAGTGAAGGATACCGTGGAAGGTACGAGTCTTCGTGGTATCGTGATGCTTACGACACAACTTAATATTAATTAATGTTTACGCATGTCAATCCGCAGTCATTCCGCACACACGTTTCTAACCATAGCTTAAACACCAACATTTTCACTCGCACGAGTGAAGCCGGCAACAGTTGATTGATTAATTAATTAATTTTTAATAATAAATTATTGAATGTTGCACAAACATATATATTATGGAAAATGCGTGCAGATTTTTTTTTGTAAAATTACATTGTCCACTTGTCATTACATTACCAATTGTGAATACATTAGGCTTGTATTTTAATGAAATTAATTAATTCTCATTGCACGTTAAACTTCAAAAGTGCCCGAGATCGTGCTTATTCGTCAATTTTCTATTACTTGTACATTTATTGTTTAAAAAGTAATAAATAATAATTCTTAATAGAAACGTAAGAAAACACACAACACACACACACACGCACACACACACACACAGCGCGGAATCTGAAACACTGTATTCATGCGATGAAATATATATATACATATACATATTATAGAATTTTAGAATCGCTTGTTGAAAATTGGGAAGAAATAGATGAGAGGACGCGAATTAAATCATTAAAAATCTTCGTCGCTGATTTCACTCGTTTTAAATATGTCGAATTTAGAGTCGTTTATGCAATCGATCGTTGACATTTTAACTTGACGATACACAGTGCTTATTAACGGCTTTGATCGCGACAATTCTTTTTATCACCGTTCTCCTCATTATTAGCCAAGCCTTTTCGGCCTGCTCTCCTTAAATAATTTTTTTAATCTTAACACAAAAACACTCTTAATACTCGCGTTAAGACTATGATATGAAAATTATAGTTTTACTATAATATACGCATATACTTAATATACTGTAAGTGCAAAAAAAGTATGCGCGGCTAATATGCATATCGCAACTTTGATAATACGTAGTCTAAACATCGTCTATAGACTCTAATGACGCGATAGAAATGCGTTGCTTTAACGAGAACGGCAGACAGCCGCGTGTAAAGAAAGAAAAGAAGCAAATATTACCTATTAACGCGCAGTTATACGTGCGTAATATACACGTAAATATACACGATGCTTTACAACGATTGTGCTTAATTTTAACAACAGATTCTACGAGCAAAATTTGGAGTAGATTCTTCCTCAATTAAAATTATCGATATGCCAATATGCTTCTCGAGTTATGAACGATTAAGTAATAAAAAACTTTTTTCTTCTGAATTAAGCTTCAGAGAGAAACGTATAATAAATATAACATAAATATAATATAGACACACATATATATCTTTATTTTAAAATACTCCTCTATTATATATGTATATAGTTTATTTTTAATTATTATATAATACATATTTCTCTCTTTCTCTCTCTTTCGTCTTTCTCTTTAATTTTAGATTTAATTTATGTAAATAAAATGAACTCGAAACTTTTTAATTATCATAATATTTAACATTAAATATTAAAAGTGACAAACAATGATTTTTTTTTCTTTGAAATTGAGAAAGAATCGTCTCGAAATTCGGCAGATTCTGTCATTATGATACAGGGCGAATTACGTAAAACATTCTTTATATTGGAAGGAAGAAAGGGAAGAAGGAAGACAGGGAGAAAAGTAAAAGGACAGAGATGAAAGAAAAAGCGACGATAATAAGAGAACGAGTCGTCTGAAGTCGTGGCTGGAGGGACATTCGAAAAAGATCTTGCCCTTCGCGAGAGACTTTTTGTCAATATTTTCGCATTTTCTCCCTCTCTCGTGCACTGACAGCTCAATTTAAGAAAAAAGAATGAAAGAAAGAACAAGAAAGAGAAAAGATGAATAAAATAAATACACATTATAATGGAAGATTTACGCGTAGATAAATTTATATGTACAAAGGTAATGGAGTATAAAATATGTAGTAAAGAGAAGCGGAAAGGAATGCCTCGAGAAATAAAAAAGGTGAAAGGAAAGAAGTATGTATGCTACAATATATAAAAAGATAATTGCGCGCACTCGTGCATTTGTGTCTCTCAATTATCAAAACGATCAAAACATTCGATGCATCCCGGGGATGATAGATGCGCCTTGGAAGGCAAAAATCATTATCTCGCGCAGGGGTACGGGAAGGAAGTAAATGTTAAACGCGCGTATCGAATACACTAGGTAAAATTATAACCAATATTTAAGTGAAAGATAAAAAAAAAGATAATCGATAAAAACATCGATAAGTGATAAATGCGATACTTAGGTGATTTAAAAATATAAGCTTTATCGATGCTTGCTGTCAAAATTTTATATCTTTCCTTGCGATATTATATCTCTCACTCCGATGATTCGACTAGAAGTTGTCTTTCATCTAATTCCTTCGGAATGATTATCAAGAGTTCTTATGATTAGGCTTATCGTAAGCTAGCGTGTCAATGTAATAAAACCGTACGTAATAAAGTGCAGTAAAGCATTGCGCAATAAAAAAAACCGTGTAAAATTCAGCCTTCGAAGTTACGAGAATTGGTAGCGAGTACCAAGGCAAAATTCACGTACAAAATGGATTTCATCCATTTGGGAGATAAAAAATGGGTACATGCTATTCCACCATATTATTCATGGTCAACGTTTTATCGGACATTAATGAAACACTTGTACAAAAATTGACCGATTGGTGTCAGATAAAAAGGCAATTTATATGTAATGCGATCTTTCGCACATAATATGTAACTTCGACTCATTGTCAATGACAAATGTCGGATTATGTTACACAAAAGATTGTTCTTTTCTTTTATCTAACAATGAATATTAATTTGTATAAGAGACAAATATCTGTTATTAAATAATATTTCATATATATACATATATGTATATCTAATTATATTTAAAAAAATTTTTTAAATTACCGATTAAATTATTTTTCATTAGGAGCGTGATTTTTTCCATAAATGTTCGTCAGTGGTATACCTAGAGACCCTATAATCAGAGATTGGCCATCAAGCGATTTCTTTAAAATCCTGCGAAAGAGAAAGATATAAGAGAGAAAGAGAAAGCGATATACATTCATATTGATTTCTCTTTCTCTCTTAATATCTCTTTCTCTTTCTTTCTCTTGTTTTTGAAGAAAAATGGTAGACCAATCAAAAGTAGCCCCCTTATGGCCAGTCTCTGATTAGAGGGTCTCTAAGTATACCTTATGCCGTTGTTTTGACGTAGATTTCGCCATAATAATGAATGAATCAAGCATAATTATTGTATATCGCAATTTTGACTAATAAATTAATAAAAATCAGAGTTTTTCGCGTAAAAATTTGGTTACGATGACATTCGGACGCATTGAGAATGTAAAATAAAGTAAATAGAGCCTCGAGAAGGATAATATAAAAAGTAAATTATTTATCGTACGGATGTTCAGCAACTCATTCGTGCGCGTGAATGTGCAAACCAAATCTAAATAAAAGTGCTAAATTCCGTGTCTAAATAAAAGTGCTCGTTGAAAGCAAGTTGGATAAAAGTTGTTACTAAACATAGAAAAAGCTATAAAGTTATAATTATAAATGCCGGATTTCAAGAAAATTTTCAATCAACCGTCAAGTATTTTTAATGTGTAGCAGTATCTTCAATGTACGACAGTAGTTTTCCTGAAGAACAACTCGTCATATTAAACGTATGAAAAACGTGAATCGCAATTTAGATATAGGATATCTAAAAATGAACTAACACGGAGATTTCTTAACTACAGATATATATCATTTAAGCGCAATGTTCTCGAGAATTTCACAATCAACGATCGTGGCATCCGTCTATCGTCTTTATTGCTATATACAACGTTCAACATGTCTAATACGGGATCTACAATGCGAGTCATAAGTCATAAGTCGTAAGAAATTGACCAATTACAGTCGAATTTGAAAAGAATAATCAAATGTGATTGGTCAGTTTTTTACGACTTATGACTTACGACTCGCATTGTAGACCCCGCATAAGAGATTAGCGCATCGAAGAACGAGGTGTGTTTCTTGGAATGTATTCATCTGTTATATTTTCAAAATTCATTCAAATCATCATGACAAAAATCGATAACGCAACGGGCTTTGCATAAATTAAGATGGTAGCGTACGACATCGCCTCGATAAAATAAAAAACAAAAATAAAAATGCGAAGAAAACACATGCCACGTCATTGGTGAAAGAATTCTACATAGAATGTTCTATGATGAGATCGTCCTTATGTAAAAGAATGTTTCAACATACGAGAAACTCTGTCTAATCATATGCAATAAAAAATATACGATGCGTAACTTGAACGTTGAAATAATTGAGTTTTTTTCTGGAAATTTTGATGATAAAATTTCTCATTTGATCGGCCTTGACTATAAACTTGTCGAGAAAAAAAGCAGGAGAAGAGATGGGGAAAACAGAAGAGGGGAAAGGAGGGGGAGGGGGAGAGAGAGAGAGAAAGAGAGAGAGAGAGAGAAATGAGAATATTATAATAGATATTTATGTATAGAAATCGATATCTCTCTCATTTATGTTATAAATAATACACCATTTTTTGGTCTTTATCGATGTCCTTTTATACTACGAAGCGATATAATAGTATTTCATTGTGCATGTACTTGATTTATATTTTCATTGAAGTATTTCTCTCGCTCAGAATCTGTAAAGATTTCTCGTAACTCTTTATGCATGTAAACAAATCAATTAGTTTGTAAACTGTAGAAATTGAAACTCAATTGATTCAACGTTTTGTTACGATATTTATGTAGTAAATAACGAAAAAATTACCGTCACTTAAGACACTAAGATTAATTTACTTACACATAAATGTTCGATATACATGAATGTAATCACATTACATTCTCGTAAATATGTTGTAAAAACCTGTACGTGGTTCTCAATGACACCACTTTGATATCGAGCAATCTAGTCGTATAACTCTCCTTAACTTTTTTTCTGTTTCGTCTCCTTCCTTCACTTTCGAGAGCTTGATTTTATATCTTTTATTTCCTCCTTATCATCTTCTTTATCTCTTATTCAGTTCTGTTCTTACAGCTGGAAATATAAAATATTTCACATAAAGCGAACATTTTTGTATTTACATCCATCAAGTCATTAAGTTAATTTAATTTTGCACTGTTGTAGCAATATACATATATGTCCATACCATCGATTATTTCTTGCTTCATTTTCTGGAATTCTTTCCGCACTTCTTTAATTATCTCCACCTTGAAGGCCTCCATCTCTTGCGCGGTGAGCGAAGTTCCATCGTTAACACCATTTACTTTGAGGAGAGTGTCCTCCGAAGCCGAACCGAACCTCTTGCGTACCGATTTCGGCGACTCGGCGCCATTGGGGAACTTGATATTCGACGCATTGTTCTTATCCCAAGACTTCTTATCTGGCGAACTTTCCGGTTCCTATAAAAGAAATTGTTCGATTAGTGCTTTTTTCTCCCTCTCTCTCTCTCTCTCTCTTCTCCTCCCCTCTCTTCTTTTCTTGCCGATCTTTCAACGCCAATGCTTTTGTCATCCAAGTTGATCCGAATATCCAAGTTACATGATAAATGTTTACGTACCGGTGGTTGCTCGGGTTGTTTCTTCTCGGCGGCAGCCCGTCGGCGTGCTAGAGTCTTAGCCATTTCGTCCATCATGGAAGCCATCCCGCCACCTCCACCTCTCCCTAAGGTGCCATAATTGCCGCCTCCTCCACCGCTTCCACTGCCGCTACTACTAGTGCTCGAGCCACTGTTCTCCACTGGTTGTGACTGTTGCTATTGATAAAAAAAGAAAGGTTCGTTATTATTCTATTTATGTGTTTTCTATTTTCTATACATATATGTGTGTGTGTGTGTGTGTGTGTGTGTGTGTGTGTATATAAAACATATATTAATATAACTCAACATCAAATCTCATTTCTGCAAACAAGTGATAATTCTGTCTAATTAAAAGATTAAAATTAAAAAAAAAAAAAAAAAAATTACCTGTTTTTTCTTAAGACGTGCTTGAAGGGCAGCGGCTAATGAGTTGGTGTCAGGCGGAGGATCATTCGAGGAACTGACGGATGAACCGGAACCGACAGCGGCGGTGGACGTGTTAGCGTTAGGAACCGGCGGCGGTGGCGGCGGAGGTGGTGCCGCAGGCCCAGCCAGCGATACCATCGGAGGCGGTGGCGGACCGCCACTAGCAATAGGAGCATAAGCGTTAGCGCTGGCCGTGTGGTGTCCGCTGGTAGCATATTGATTCACCGAATTTGATGGTGTCCCATATGGATTTGTAGTACCCGCTGTGGCAGCCGCTTGTACCTGACCGGTACCACCATACTGTGCTTGCGCCTGGGACACGATATTGGAGCCGTACGATTGACCAGGTTGCGCGACCGCGTATTGACTTGACGGACCAGGTGGCGGACCGGTAGCATACTGATTTATCGAACTATTACTTCCAAACTGATTACTACCGCTGCTACCATATTGCGCGGCTTGACTACCAATCGACTGACTATATTGGCCTGTATTAATCGGTCCACCAGTAGTGTACGTGCTCGTTTGACTGTTAGTACCGTAGAAATTGTTCAGACTGCCGGACGGCGGAAATTGGTTCGGGCTTTGGCCCACGACAGAGGCCGCACCGCTTCCGGTACTGCTGCTACTGCTAGGAACAGTGGCACTCGCGTATTGATTGCTCGCAGGCGCGGCACCATACTGATTTGCTTGATTAGTAACGTAAATAGACTGGCATTGGGACTGTTGATTCGCAAGGTTTGACTGAGACGACGGCGATTGTGCGTACTGATTCATCATCATCGGTGGCGCCGGCGCCGCAGACGAGCTAAAGTTCATCATCGTCGGCGGACATGGTGGAGCGGGGGGTGCAATCGGCGGCTGAGGCGGTGGTATCGGGGGACCGACTCCCGATCCAGCTGACATTTGCGGAACGGCTGGAACCATATTGGCGACACCCTGTAAGGCTGGTTGTTGCTGTTGAGGCGGTTGTGGTGCCGGCGGCGCCGACGAAGTTCGATGATGACCGGATTGTTGTTGTTGTTGTTGTTGTTGTTGCTGCTGCTGCTGCTGCTGTTGCGGCTGTTGCTGTGCAGCAGATGGACAGCTCGGTGATATGGGATTGGGACTTGCAGTTGCTGCAAAGAAATTGATCTCTGAATATATATATATTTTTTTTCTGAATATATATATACACACACACACACACACACATCATGTAGATATTTGTAAATTATATACAATTTTGACACCTCTTTTAGGATAACATCTTTGCGATTCAAATACATTTGCAATCTCCACACGTACATGTGTGCCCGTTATAAAATTATATCTTATGTATAAACATGTTATGCTAAAAACATGATTGAAATACCTTGACTTTGCTGAGACATTCTGCGTTCCTGAATTATTGCTACGTCCTCTCTAGTCATGGTTCTGCACAGATATAGAAATTGAAGTTAGTTACAAAATACACATGTTCTCATTAATGCACAATGCATTATTAATGTAAAGCGTAATAGGGCCAGCCAACTAATATAATGGACATGATAGATCACTTATACATAATCCTATACAGATAGATTGTACTAAAAATTCACTTTAACTGGCTGCTTGATAAATATTTTCCAACACTGACACAAAGAGAAAAAATTATATAAACGCACGGGTAAATTTAATTGTGTCGCACGTTAACATGCTAAATAATACTGCTCTACAAAGATTATTTCCTATTTCGCTATAAATATATTCCAGCGATAATAGAATACTCTTACTCTACGTCATAGGCTATTGTCAATAGGCGTTGAAACGTTGATATCAATTTATACGAACCAAGGAAGTAAAGTGGATAATAATCCGTTATATTTTCATCATGTGGCGCAAGGTATTTTCCATGTAGAGCAAGCTAACATAGCTGCGCATCGCTTGTTTTCTTATTCCTGGCAAGTTTGTATATTTAGGCCGATCCTTATCTGACAATCATTTTGAATGTCGAATTTATCGAGTATCCTGAATTTTGTGAAAAGCATCCGCGAAAAGCCGAAGAAAAAATGTCGAGCTCGGTCGCGCAATGTATTCGAGCCTATTTTGAGAGGCGCGGAGTGCAACAGACGGAGCGAATTCTCCCGCTTAGTCTCCGCGGATTTTATTTTCGACATCGTGTAAATATCTTTTCGCCCCGATCCTCGTTTTCACAACAAGTCTTTCACTGGAGTCTCGCGTGTAAATTTACTGTATGGAAGAGAGAAGAAGAAAAAAAGAGGAGAACGAAGTTGGAAGTTGATTAAAACCGCTAAATTGCAACAATGTTCTTCGGGAACGTTCACTACATGAAAGGGGAAGGGAAAAGATGCAAGGAGAAAACATGGATAGAAAAAAAAAACGGTTCTTCTAATACGTGGGTAATGCCCGCGATCTTTACTACAGGGAATCAGGAGTCCTAGATAGATCTGCATGACCTTTAACCCATATTAACCTAATGCTATTGTGTCACATGACACAACAATACTAAATCAATAACTTGACGGCATGTTTTAGAAAAATCTTTATAAAACGTATTTTTCAATATATTTGTAGACCGTGCTTCCCGGTAGACATTCATACAGATAGACACTTTTCTATATTATATGAAGTGCATTACATGTTGAGTAAAAGAGATTTTGATAGCACGTAATTAAGAAATTCAGGTTATTACGGGTTAAAAGGACGGGAAGATCACCTCGAGTGTCCATCGCCCGGTGAGCCACGCGCACAGCCCATTTGAACAACGGTGCCAACAGCACCACTAACGGTCACGTGGTGCTCGGGGGTTGTGGTGGCGGAGCCCACGGGCAGGGCCGTCTGGCCTCCTGTAGGCAGATGGCTCAGGGACAAGGAGATCCGCGCGTTACGACCTTGACTGCAACCAGTCAGGACAGATGTGTGATTCGCTTCAGGTAAACGATGGGGAAATTGAAATGGGCCTATGTCCGTAAAGTAAGTTGTCACCCTATAAACTTTTCGCGCTTTTTCTATATATATAAACGACCATATCATGTATACCAAAACTGTCTCGTGAATCTCGTGATGATGTCTCCACACTCTGATTTGTTGTATTTAAAGAAAACATTTCAAATAGAGAGAAACAAGGTTGCCTGCATTTCGAAAACGTGACGTGAATCGATTGGACGTTGTGTGACATATGATATCTTTTGATAGATAATAATTGCTATAATAAGGTAACAGTCACGCTGCAAATCGTTTGAAAGCGAGAAAGAAAATGAACGAGACGTACCTATATCCCATGTCCTCCTCATATTGAGCGGTTGGTTGGCTTTGCTGTTGCTGCTGCTGCTGTTGCTGCTGCTGCTGCTGTTGTTGATAGGCGGTTTGCTGTTGAGTAGTTGTGGTGGTTGCCGGAGCGAGACTTCTTGATATGTTGCTACCATTGCTCAGCACCTACGCAACATCGCAACGAGATGCGATGTGCAATTAGAAGCTAATTAACAATGATATATCCAATTACGACAACGCCTAGCCAAATTGGCAATTATAATTGCCGTAACTGAAATCGATATCCCACGATAACGAGTGAACGTTCGTTTTTTATCCTTAAGTTTGTTTTTTCGTTTCTGACCATCCGAGATGATCCAAGTAAGTGTTTGTCAGAAACTTTTGCTTCTCCTAATAAAAGTTATCACCCCCGCCCCACACACACACACGAGTTACGATCTTAAACCGCCACGATAACTTGAAACAATATGTTAAAAATGCCAAAACTACAAATTTTTAAAATTGGATAGTAAAACCCGCAGTAAGCCGGGATTAATTCTAATAAAACTGTAAGATGAAATAAATGTTATGAATTACATCGAGTGCCTGGAGCATCGCCCGAGCAAAAGCATCAGCGTCGTCCTTACTGGAGAAGTTTAGCCCGTAGACTTGCTTGTTATCCCGCCACTGGTGAAACGTGACCGTGGCCTGATTGTACTTGAGTCCCTTGAGAATCGCACAGTTGATGACAATCTCGTGGTCCTGCAGCTTCCTGCCGACCACGCGGAACGTATTGTTCACCTGATGGTGATAGAGCTGGACCTTGGACAGGCCGGACGAGCTGCCACTCGGTATCCATTTCTTGTTCACGTCGTCATACACCATCACCGACGCACGGGCGGACGATATGCTCACTTCGCTGTAATGTAAATGACAAAACATTCATTTTCTTTTTGCGTTTTAGTCAATTAATTCCTTCGGTCATCCGCATATATTCTCTTTTGTGTACTTTGTTACGTTATCTCGAGTGATCTCGAGGGCGAGACGGGACGAGAATCGTTTTATGCATGCAATTAAAAAGTGGCAAGTTATCGGTGATTTTTCAATCAATTTAATTGTTGATGTCAGAGTAAAAGAAATTAAAAATTAGATTACGTAAAGTAAAGAGAATATATTTGCATGAATCAAAGCAGTTTCTTATTTAAAGAGCCAACGAAATAAAGTAAGTAAGTAACAGGGACATGTGCGGGAATGTTGCACCGTGCACCGGGCTGAATCGTGGGCGGTACATGCGGCACACGTATCGCACCGTTATCACTTTTTGCTTTTGCTCATGCGAGAAAGTCGCATAATGGTAATCCGAGTAGGCCGAGTGACAACGCGAACGGCAAATGGACGAAACATAGATTGTACAGTTTGTTCGATTTATCATCGATCTTTACCATTTACAATTTCTCTGCATTTCTGACAATCCCTTTATAATCATTCTAATGAATGCAAAACTTTTTCTGCGAGGGGGGGGACATGAAATCGGATAACATGATTAAAATGAACGTATAGAATATCGACGAATATCTGAAAAATGTTTTTTCCAGATATCCTTTAGAGTTTAGATTGTCGCGTCGCGGCGTCGCGGTTGTTTATGAAGAAACAAACTTTTTTGCCTTTGTGAATATCGCGATAGCGTAAGAAGGCGAAGGACGAAGGAGAAAATTGACGTGCGCGTCGTGTACCACGAACGGCTATCCTGTTGCCAAGAAGATCGTTGCTGGCGATAGCTCGTACGCTGTTGCACATTCACACGCTGCTGCGACGCAGGCTCTTGTTGTATCGTTACGGAAGGACTCATCCTGGCGAACGTGTCTTGACTCTGTGCCTGATCCTCGGACGAATAAGCCTCGTAGGACCATCTCGTCCTGCCAATTTTGGAGAAGAAATTTTCGCGGAAGTCCCACATAATCGTCGAGAGCTTCTTCTCGCTAATAAGTCATCAATTTTATCGCACCGATCATCGCACCGCTATTATCAGGGACCGCGTACCTATTATCAGAAATCGGTGACGACGTGACGACACCGACCCGACGCGAGACGGACCGAAAACGGAGTAAGATAAACGCACAGCTTGCGCAGGGCTTAATTAAAAGTCTGCGATCCGCGATCCGCGATATCCGCGGGACCCGCGGAGGAGCTCGCGCGCTCGCTCGCTGTCGCTTTCACTGGACCGAGTCGCCGACGCCGAGAGGCAGTCTGCACTCTTTCCGTTGGCAAAACGAAAACAGGACGAGGTAGGATGTGGCGAGATACCGCCACTTTGACTATCCTCTGCCGTCGTCGCCGCTACTGCTATATACTGCTGCTACTGCTGCGTGTGTATGTGTATACACGGTCGAGCAAAGTATGATAACAGTCGGCCCGCAACATCCGTTGTTGCGATCCACGTTTCGAGGACGTTTGCGTTGCACGATGAACAAATAATGTGTGGATGAACAGATAAAAAAAACGCTACCCGTCATTTTCGCGAATCAATGACGAGATGATCGCGGATGGATTGATCGGACTGTGGAAAAGCCTTGTGTCATGGAAGAAAAAATTAAAGTATATACGTAAAACATCGTGGCAAACTTCTTTATTGACATCGAATCAAAGGCTGCAATTTTTTGTCGATGGATATCAAGAGGCATTCGGCGATCTTGCCAATCAGCTCCGCGCGCGGCATGTACTAACATCAAGTACTTGTACTTATGTAGGTCAGAGACCGGCCTTGCATACGACAATTACCGGTCTAAGCGCGCGCGTGATGCAGTCCGAGTTAAATATCGTTGTGACACGCGTGATTAGAGCGAATGTTGATTCGCAAATCGCAAATAGAATGAATCGAGCTCCATTTCGGCAACGCTAGCGAGCGCAAACAACCGCGATCCTTTCACGGAGCAAGTTTCATTTTTAGGCGTAATCTTTGGAATATTATTGATGACGGTCTGAAAATATACGTCTACTGTTTTCCTTCTATTTATGTGGTATCGTCGTTTTATTTTTTACATACTTTTTATACTTTTCTCAGAGTTTTTCGAGAGATGCAAAGTGTTGGTTTATGAACAATGCGCAATAATGCACTTTCTTATACATTTCTTCCCGAGTTGCGGATTCGTCACGTTTCCTGATCGTGCGCGGATTTATTATGTTCTGCGCGGATGTCGAACTTTTAGAGCATAAAGCACGAACGGCATTGTGTATCAGCGGTCGGAAGTTATGTCGAGATTCTCTCTCTCTCTCTCTCTCTCTCTCTCTCTCTCTTTCTCTCGTCTGTCAGCCGGTAGGAGCCATCAGACTGTTTGAGAGCGCCATGTACCTACTACGTAAAAGTGGAACAAATGCGTTTCGGAGGGCATTGCCTTAGCTGCTTTTCGCATGGCGTAAAGTGTAAAACACTCAATCGCGACTACGTAGCCTACAGCAAACAAAGCTTATCGCACGCGAAATTGCATGCGCTTTATTTCCAGTAATGCTCAGGGAAGCGTTAATATACCTTTCACCAAACACCGAATGAAATAATCGCCACTGTTCCGTATATAATTGTATCTCGTTGTCGACCATCCCCGAAAAATATCGCGATTGGACTCTCGACGAACGGTGACAGACTCCCAAACGAAATGCCGTACATCGCGCGAATGTACCTAGCGAATAGCGATATAAAATACCTTACAATAAGAAAGTCCAACAATAAGAAAAAAAAATACGTAACGCTGCATTATTTCTCCAGAATCGTCCAGAGTCGAAACTTTCATCTTGATAAAAATCTTGATTTCTTGTTCAAATTTTTGACTTGATAAATCTGAACAAATAAAATTTATAAGAAAAATAAATCTCATTTTTATTCACATCTTGATCAAATCGTAAATAATAATTCATATATGCTTGTAAATTACAATTTAAATAGACTGTGTCGTTTGGAGAGGACGGTCGTTTGCATACGCATTTAATGGTAATTCTGATTGTCGCGGTTTTCGTTGCGTTTTTATTATCTCGTTGCATTGTATCGCGGCAAGGAGAGAACAAAAGTATTCTACGCGAGAGGAAGCAGTGACGAATCAAGTGACGATACTGACGATACACGCGACACGCGACATTGGATATCGAATTCTACGCTGCGCCGCGCGCCGCGTCGCGTCGCAGAAGCGAGAAGCGAGCACGCATTACATTTCTCTTTCATACAGCTGGTTGGTTTATACGTTTATAGGTTTATACCATCGGGCATCGACAATGACGCGTCCAATCGTGACGACTCTATTAATTCTCGGCTCGGCGGACTTGCGCGATCGATGTGCTATCTCTCATCGAAAGAAAAAGTTTAGACGGAACTCGTTGAGCACTGACGCGTTTTCAGCGACATATGGTTTATCAGAACAATTTGGCCGACACGTCAGACCGATAACGGGGAACGTGATATAGGCCCCTATCTTACAATTACTGTTTCTACAAATTATTTTACGCCTTCAAATTTCTTTCGTTGCTGCAGCGAAATATCACTTGCAATAATTAATCATAAAATATATGCCGCGATGCCATGTATTTCATCTCTGCGAAATATTTCGGTCTTAAAAATTATTCGATCACTGCCTCCGTATTTCGAGACCTCTGTCCTCCGAGAGGACTATCATTCTATACGCACTGTACTACACATTTACTACACGGTGAGAGTTTATTTCAGTTTATTTAAAGTCACTTGGAAATTTATTGTAATTTTTTGGAATAAAGCGAAACTTTCAATGCCCAAAGAAACTTATAGCTTCATGGTTTCACCTTGATGAAACGAATACGATTACCGAAAGTAGCATATGGCAAGTAGGTAGCCATGCGTCAACATTAATTGGATAGGTAAGTCAAGCCTCGCGACACTCGAGTAGTCTTTTCTCACTCTCGTAACACGAGCCCTAAATCTTAAGGATCCTGACCGTCCAGGCCATCTCGTACAATCCGGAATACAATTCTTTTTTATTTTAACAATGGAATATGACTAATACACAGAGCTTTGTCTGACAGATTCTAAATTTTATATATTATATCGAATTTTCCACGACTCGACGTCCCGACGATGCGCGATGCTACCGATGTATTTTATTTAAGAACAAATTCTCCGACGATGCGCAAACGATTTTGAGGTCAGCGAGTAACGAAGTCGTTGGTCAGCGTATGTGTGAAGCTGGCGTAACATTTCCTATTTCCTTAATCATTTTGTGGAAACTCATAAGTATTGAGAGGTCTCTATAGTTTTCTATAGGTTAGACCCGTTAGACAAATAGTTTTTTGGTCATTAAAGCACAAAAAATGTGCCTCAGGACAGACTGACTGACAATGAGACGTCAAGTTCACGCAGCGTCTCACTTTGTCCTACGGGCATTCTCTTGATATTGATTACTAGATTTCAAAAGATTTATAGTTGTACATTTGTTCTAGAAATAGTTTTAGCAATAAACATTGTCTTTTTAATTTCTAAATAATTTTTATCCCCCGATAAAGGAGCCTTTATCAGTAAATAGGTGAATAGACGCTGCGGTCGATTTTTGACAGTTCTGTTGATTGTAAAATAATTCTCCTTTCCTCAAAATGATGAACGCCAGCTTCACACACACACACACACACTGCTGGTCAGCCACTTTACTGAATAAAAAGTAAAGACGGAATAATTTTCGGAAGCATCTAATGTAATAAAGAATCAATTCTACCAAGATCCGTGTAAGGATTTTGTGAGAGAAGCAACATTTCAAAGAAATGTATCTGTAAGGGCCTCCGCACAATGAAAAATATAAGGAACAAGGAACAGATATTAGAAATTAGAACTAAAGAATCAAGAATAAAGTTGAATGTACGATGAAAAATACAGGCAAGAGAAATAGGGAAGAACACAGGCAACAGATTTAACCTATCGGAAGCCGTGTATTAATGTTACACACTAGTTTTATTCCTGATTTCTTATTTCTAATTGATAATATCTGTTTTTTGTCCCTTATATTTTTCATTGTGCGGGGGGGGGGTCTTTAGTACTTTTATGTTACATTTCAAGAACAAAACCAAAATTGAATCGAATTGGTCTCATCTTTTCCGTTTGCATAGTAATATCGTACGGGTAAAGAGAACGTACTCGTATGTAAAGAAGCGCGTTTCTCTGTGCTAGAGTGCGTAAGAAAGTGCGGACATGGAAAAATCTTTCCCGACCGGCGCGCGGCGGCGCGGTGCAAGGTGCAATATGGGCATAATGAGCGCAACAATGGAAATTTAACAAAAGAGCGTGCAACCTTCGGGTTATATGTACCTGTTAGGACGCAAGGTATCAAATCACCATGTTGCATATCCCGTGTATAACTGTATATACTCATGGATATTCACTTGGGAAATAAGCAAAACTTGAAATATATATTATTTCGCCTTATTATTAATTAACGGCTGTCTTGCTTTTATTAATTTATCGTGTATTGAAATTGTTTGTTCTATTGAACTTTCGAATAATATCTTGCATCTATGCATTATTGCGATTTTTGCAATATATCCGATAAAATAGGTCAAAGCTCCCTTTGCGAATCCAAGCGATGATTAAGCGAGGGTAAAAGTAGGTTACTCGAGCAATCTGCACCATATCGCAGCATTAAAATTAATTAAGCTCGGTTATTGAAGGTGAAATTGAAAGCCATTACGCAGCTTTACCCACGGTTTAGCAAATGACAGTGGGATACGATACGACGGTTTGTTCTCTCCTCGGTAGGAGATAAGGAGAGATACCCTAGTGTGTGTACGGGGCCGGGGGGTTGTCGCGTGTATACGCGTACGTATCGCGCATCACACACGTCGAAAACGTAATCCGCCCATGCCGGATCATCGTACTCGCTAATGCACAAAACGTAACATTTCCGGCAGGTATATAAAATGTTTTATCGCTAACCGATCTCAGCCATATCTAACTACAAGTTATAATGACCTAGCGATCGAGCTCGCCTTAGCAAAAATTTTTTGAAAGCCTCCATTGTTAATTTTTAATTCCCAACATTAAACATCTTGACATAACAGTCTTAATAATAGGTAACAGTACTAAAGTTCCAACTGGTGTTAATTGTAAGGAAAAATAAAGGTGAAATTCATGAATAAAATATTGATTAGACAAAAACGTTAACAGTGTTAACACCTATAATAGAATGTCGTTGCTATTTGTATTTAAATAAATAATTTTGCAGAAGAATTTCTTTTATTAGTGCGAAAAATTTCACGACGCTTTTGCACGATTCGGGAAGGTTTGACCTAGTCATGAGTCGCGAGTCGCGAGTCGCAAAGTCGTTAGGAGGATACTCGCACGTCCAATTACACGACGTGAATATACGATACGTTATTCGGACAAACGTTCGCGTACGTGGGTCGTTCCCCAGATGTGG